CGAAATCGATTTGAATTTTCATCACGCGACTTTAAAAATTGCTCCACAAAGTGTAATAAATTCAAAAGATTAATGAGGTACCTCGTCAAAGACTTGAATTTTTTAACGGTACGCTCCCGCTAGTTAAATGAATATGGAGTCCGAAAGGACTTGTATAGTTTAGGTTGGGTGTATAGAATTTTACAGAATTTAAAAAAAATTGTCATACTGGCAACACCAATGTCTACGTCTTAAACCCATACTTAAATTGATAAGACACTCTTAACATAATATGCCAGACAACCACACCAGTTGCCTGGTCTGAAACTGGGGAATTCTCTGTAGCATGACTACCAGAGCTACGGAATTCTGGGGCACTTCTCGGAACACTCATACCAGGATCGATTTAGAAAAGTTAATTTCCCAAATTAGTCATACCGGGTATCGAACACGAAAACCTCCGCATCTTACGTCCAAAATGTGATACATTTTATAATCTATTGCAATTATTGTACCACAACTTTGGTTAAGAAATAATTTTTAAGAAACAGCTTGGGCAAATGTTGAAGGAAGCCTGTAACCTGTATGTTTTTTTGAGGTCTGAGTGGTGTCACTCAGTCTATATTATAGTCGAACTTATTTAAGTCTTGTTGGCAATGCAAAAACACTCTTAATACATTGTTTGACGACCTCGGTGGCCTATGCATTGTGGGCGTTGGATGAAGAGGCCCCAGGTTTGATTCCCGGTAGAACCAATTTGGGAAATGAATTTTTGAAATTGGCACTAATTTGGATATTCCGAGGAGTGCCCCGGAGCCCGGTAGAGAGCTAAAGTCCCAATTTCGGTATTGTAGACAAAAATACCAGGAAATTGACAACTTAATGGTTTATTTAAATTTATTCCGCCGTTATTCCATTTATTAATGACAAAGTCCATCTCGACGTCCTTGATTCGAAAGAACAAATTAGGTAAGAATTCTAAATTGGTTCTCATCTGAGTCTTCCGAGTATTGCTTAGAAATGAATTTCATTGCTTTAGTACTCATAGTACAGGGTATTCTCCAGTTTGAGACCAGGCAATGTTATTGCTGTATCCATGCAGCTTAAATGACATTCTCCGCATAGTGCCTCGTAGCATTGATTGTCTGATTATGTTTCTTTGTATGAGACTATACTAACATTAATATTTGCTTTTTTGTTTGTTCCTTTAGTGCATTTGCGTTTTGTAAAACCTGATGGAACTGTATGTACTTGCATAAATCAGTATTGTAATATGGACTACAACCATTGACTTACAATTATATGGACGTCGGGTCCGCGCCAAAAAGTGTCCAAGCTTATAGGGCGTTAAAATCGTATACAGAGCGTCATTCACACTCTAGTCTTCGTTTGTTCGACTGACAGCGAAGCAAGCAAAATTAGACAGTACTGCGGAGACATTACATTTTAAATTCAACGTTTTAGCCTTTTCATATTCCTTGACATGTCACTACGTTTAAATAGGTTGACTTGGGACATTTTTTTCGTGGTTTTTGTATTAGATCCGTCGTCCATTTATTTGTCAATGACTACAACCGATCGAAAAATTTCATTGTTTGGCTCACTATGTCAACATTGTAGTAAACCTATAAAGACTAAATGACATAACTTTGAGCACGGCTCTTTCGTGTTTTATCGAAAGTCAATAAATGAGCCTTGGAAGACCTCAAAATCCATCGCCTCAGTGTTTTCAAAACGTAAATAAGTTTTTTAGAACGCGATGTCGTGAGTTCTAAAAAAGTTCTAGTTCTGAGCGTTTCATCCAGTATCACTGCGATATGTTTAACATTGGCAGGTTTGGCAACACAGGAACAGTCAAAACTAAAAGGAGAGTTACTCGAGTGAAATTTAATTTCAACTTCGACCTGTGTATTGTTCGGAATGTTAAAATTTACCAAAAGCAGGTTTTGACGGATTCAAACTACGGAGGTTTATCTTGTAGCCAACGGCTTACTTTATACAAACCGCATTTGACGGCTCTCCTGCGAATACCAAGACTGTATCATCGCTGTAAGTAAACAGTTTGCAATTTTATAATGAGGTTTGACAAGTAGTTGTATATATCAAGAGAAACTTGATCCGAAGATGCTGCCTTGAGGGACTGCATAGACTACAATAATAGACAACCTAAGATTTTATACTTACCATCATTCAAATTCTAATTTGTTTGTCTGCAATCTCATTGGAGGTTTCATAATTTCGACGGCGTTATCTCGGACTCCGAAACGATTTAACGTATTCACAAGTACTTGTATCGCAAAAGTATCAAAAGCTATCGTAAGAAAAATTCCTCTTCTAACTGTAATTTGACTAACCGCGTCTTTAGTACTTGTATTCGATCTAAATTCATTGAAAACTAGATAAAATCTTATTCTATTCCAAGAAATTCATAAAGCTGTTGTTTAATGTTACTTAAGTACCTTAGACAATTAGCTGAATGCCGAGATCGGCATATAATTGGAGAGACTCTCGAAGCCTGTCTTTATGGGCAGGAGTGGTGAACGACTTTCTTAAAACCCATTGGGAATACAAAGTTCAATAATTTTAATAATGGAGGAGAGTCGAACTATTATATTGGATTTGGAAATTTTAGAAATTTTACATGTATGGAATTACTTGATGTTACAATTGCATTCAAGATGAATTCTTAGTGATTGGATTTCGGTATCATTCAATGGTAGTATCACATTATAGTTAATAGACTCATTGACTTACAATTTTATGGACGTCGGGTCCGCGCTAAAAAGTGTCCGAACTTACAGGGCGTCATTCACGCTTTAATCTGGATATAATAGATATATATAATAGATATTTATTAATAATGACCGCTGACTTCAGTAAAAACCTAACGTAACCTGACATCGATGTTCAATGTTAATATTAGCAAACATATTTTTAAACTTATGAACAAGAGCGAACTGTTTCTTCTAAATTGAGAGGACGACCGTTCGAATTCAGGTAGCAAAATGTAAATATAACATTAATTTCTGTATTATGTACATTTATGAAAGTTTAGCAGTAATATCTCTTTCGCTGACAGTGAAGGAAAATATCGTGACGAATTTTTCGTTGTCGCAGAAAATATATGAGATTAAGTTAAATTTCTATATTATAATATGTATCCCTTCTGTTGCGGCTCCATCAATTCCATCCACATACCGACGCCTCAGAGTGAAAACCACGCATATGTACGCGTTTTCACATAGTTCGTTTTATTGATTTTTTTTTAAGAAAAACTTATAAAGTTCTTGCTCGAATATATTAATTATAACAGTAATATATTATCTGAAAGAGATATAATTTAACTAAATAAAATGTGTTCACTACAATATCATATCAATAACGCCTAAATATTTAAAAAAGTGAAATTTACTTTTGTGAAATTTTGCTAATAATTTTGAATAGGCGATTTTTTCATATGTCAACAATAAAGTGTACGCGTGCTTCTGCAGTCGACTATAACCTAGCAGAAAGTAAATTTATTATCACAGCTTTGATCTTTTATTAAATAAATTAGAACCATTATGTTCCAGAAACACTTTTAATACTGCCTGCCACTACACTGACGAAATACCGAACAATGTAGTTAATAGATATATGCTATAGTCGTAGAGAGAGATCTATAGTTATATTTAAAGCTATCTACTAGATTAATAGACGAAAAACTCAGCGTGTTATTTACACTACAACATGGTAAATCAACTTAATTATATTAAAAAGCGCGTTCAGATTCTATCTGGCAAAAGGCTAACAAAATCTCAAAAAGCTAAGACAGGGTCACGTCACATCGGGTCATATAATTATACATAAATTTTACTCTGCTGTCCTCACGAAAGCTAATTTTGAATTCTATTCCAAAGACGATAATGTTAAAATTTGTGTGGTTGTTTAGTGAGGGTTGTTAATAATAGGAGTATCGTTGGGTGGGTATTTTTATGGTTATAATTTGTGACCGTTGTAATGTTTGCACAATAGCTGTCCCGAGCTGTTTTATCATTCAAATGAGATGGACAATGCTGCAGGGCTAATGAAGAAACAATATTATATACTTTGATTTGTTTGTTGTAGGTACCTACTGAATGAAATTAACAAATAAATAAATCAGTAAATAGTGGTTTATATGACTATTACATAATGAAACGTATCAAAATTAGAGTGTGGATTTACATAAAAACATCACACGAGTATTTTAATGCCTAATTATGTACAGTTACGTACACGGCTTTATATATACACATATTATAAGCTCTCTATGATGTGTTCAGGAACCGTGTGTTAGGACTGGCGAAATGGCGGCAAATAAAAACTTATCCCACGCATGTCACGCAATAGTAGTTTTTATTTAATTCTTATACAAACTAGCCCCCAACTATCAAATCGTTCGATCGAGTTACGTGTGAAATCTTTGAAAATTGTTTGCTATTGACACTTCATTTCGAATAAAACTTCATCTCGACTGATATTAGAATTGAGGTGGAATCAAATTGTTTTGTTTCTTCAGAGATGTTCGAAATTTGAATGTAATAATAAAATCGTATTTGATGTTAGAAGCAATAATTCACAGATAAGAAATTTGTTCTAACAAAACAGTATATCTGCAGGTCGTGATTTGCGCTTTTTGAACACATTATATAGTATGTGTAGATAAATGAACAAATAAAATGAATGAATTTTTTATTGAACAATAAATATTACAAAACTGCATCACGTAGTGTGAAGAAGCATTTGGCCAGACCGGCAAAATGGTAGTGACGGAGTGAAGATATTTGTGTTTTCCATCCGTTACTCTCATCTCTGGACTGTATTCGCACTTTCCATCAGGCGCGGTGCAGTCATTTTGCCGAGTCGCAAAAAAAAAATAAAAATAAAAAAAGAACATTAATTTATGTATGACAGAAAGTTAATATACATAGGCGACTTTAGTTAGGATAGGTTAAGAGTTAAATTTACGTGATATAAAGTGTACTGAGTATCAGGTACTCATGACGCAAGATTCTCCGTTTGAGGCCAGGTAATTAGGGGAGGTAGGGGAGGGATGGGCAGCCGGGAGGCATGGGCACCCATTCATAATTGAAATTGCATGGTAGATTTTTTATTTTTTTAATGGTGGTAGTTTAGTTTGCTTACTGGCAACACCGCCCGTCCATAAATGATCTGTCATTTTAGTGCAGTTGTCAAAGTTATAAGCTGTTTATGCTAACGTGCGTGAAAAAGTAAAATTTTTATTGTGATTTCGGAGTAAATATAGGAAAGAACTGCGAGAAGGTAAGTGATTCTTTATTTCGTTCCCGTTGTGTATTTACTAACGTTTATATTGACCTGTAAATCACGCCGAAATATTTCACCAAAAACTTTACAATAAAGTTGACTTGAAAATGCATGCTGAGGGAGCAATGGGCAGGGTATTTTGAGGGAGGTTTGGGCATGCCCAATGCTCCCGCCAATTTATTGTATACGTAGGAACATTTTTTTTGTACTTTAGTTACCTGCTTTTACACCTACCGATTAAATTAATATTTGTCTTGCAGGAAAATGCCGTTTGCTTTTAAAAAGAAGGGCAAGAGACGCGAAGTTCCTATGGATATAATATTGCGTGCCATTGAAGAAGTATCAAAAGGTAGTAAAATAAAAACTACTGCCAATAAATATAATATCCCGAGATCAAACCTACAACGCTACCTTAAACAGGAATTTGTAAAGGATAATGCATCCAGATTTGTATCCTCACAAATTTTTACCACAGAAGAAGAAGAAAAGTTGGTGGACTATATGATGGTATCGTCAAAACTTCACTATGGGTTGACAAAACTGCAAGCTCGTAAATTGGCTTATGACTATGCTGTAGCAACAAAGAAGACGAACATACCAGATAATTGGATCAAGAATGAAATTGCATCCAAAGACTGGATACGAGGATTTCTCAGGCGGCAATCTCAGTTATCTATACGAACAACAGAAGCTACCAGCTTATCTCGAGCTACAAGTTTTAATAAAACAAACGTGGGAGATTTTTTCACAAATCTCAGAGCAGTTTATGAGCGTCATCAATTTGGCCCTGAATCGATTTACAACATAGATGAGACTGGGTTGACAACTGTTCAGCGAACTCGAAGAGTGATTGCTCCTAAAGGCACAAAACAAGTTGGACAAGCAACATCTGCAGAAAGGGGCTCACTCGTCACGGTGTGCTGTGGAGTTAATGCTCTAGGCAACTTTGTACCCCCTTATTTTATATTTCCAAGAGTACACTTTAAATCTTATATGCTTCATGATGCCCCCATTGGCTCAGATGGATCAACGCATCCATCTGGATGGATGACATCTTCAAATTTCATTAAATATATGCACCATTTTGCAAAACACGTCAAACCGTCACCTACCTCGCCAGTGTTGCTGCTACTAGATAACCATGAGAGTCATATTTCAGTGGAAGTCCTCAATTTCTGCAAAGATGTCGGCATTATTTTAATGACTTTTCCACCTCACTGCAGCCACAAACTGCAACCTTTAGATTTGACAGTGTATGGACCTTTGAAAAATTATTATAATAATGCCTTAACAGACTGGATGGTGTGTAATGCAGGCAAAACTGTAACAATTTACGATGTACCAAAACTAGCAGCTCTTGCTATACCACAAGCTTTTAAGCAACAAAGTATTCAAAAGGGGTTTGAAAAATCTGGCATATGGCCTTTTAACTCAAATATTTTCACAGATGATGATTTCCTCTGCTCTTCTATCACCGATCGCTATTTGCCTGGTACAGAAAATATTTCAACAATTCAATCAACACCAAATAGAGTCCCCTCAGAACTGTCAACAGGAGATATTCAAAGTGGATCAGATTCTGAAAATTTAAACATCATGGTTGTATCTAGTCCTTCCCAACTGGAATCATTCACTAGAGAGCACATTGAAGAAGTCGCCGAAACTATAACTCCTGAATCTGTGAGACCTTATCCGAAGGCTGGCCCTAGACTTAGCAGCATAAAAAGGAAGAAAGGTAAAACTAGGATATTAACAGATACACCCGAAAAAAGATTGATAGAAATAGCAGAACAAGAGAAACAAAGAAAAAATAAGGCCAAAGAAGAAAGACAATTTAAAAAGAATCTGAAGAATACAGAAAAGAAAAAAATTCCTAAATTGCCAGTAGAGTTGACATCGAAAAGAGTGGTAGAAAAAGAAATGATAAGCAGTGATAGTGACATGGAAAATGTTTTTATTGCAACCAGTTCTGAAGGTTCATTTGTAATCGAAACGTCAGAAGAAGAGCTTGACGAAGATGATGTAATTATTCTAGACAGAAATTTTAAAATAAATGATTTTGTACTTGTCAAATTTGATACAAAAAAAACTGTTGTACATTATGTCGGCCTAATTATGGAAGTTAGCCACCTCATGGCTACAATCAAATTTATGCGATTGAGCAAGATGCGAAATACATTTCTGTATCCTGAAATAGATGACATAGCAAGCGTCCCAATAGATGACATTAAAACCAAACTACCAGATCCAAAACCATGCAGTAACACCAAACGTGGAAGCTCTAAATATGCATTTGATAAACCCCTATGGGTCATACCAAATCTTAGGTAAAAATGATAATTGAGTGAAAATATTTACTTTTGTTGATTATTATTTGAGATAAAGATTTTATGTAAGTTAAAATTGTTATGTTTTGTAATATCGGGTCTTTTAAACACCATGCCCAAACCTCCCACAGGGCGTGCCCAATCCACCCAACCGCCGGGAGGCTTGGGCACTTTTGACATGTTTTAGATATTTTTTTATTACTTTGAGGCTGATTAAAATTTATAGACTGTTTCTTGCAATAATTGTAGCCAAAGGTATGTGCTATAGATATAAGAAATAAAAATTGGATTATATAAAAAATATATTTTTTTACTGTCTCTTATGTATAAAAGTGCCCATCCCTCCCCTATCTCCCCTATTGTTATTCTTTGAGGGAGGTCTATGTTCAGCAGTTGACGTTTTTTGGCTGAAATGATGGTGATGAATTGTTGTTATTGTTACATACATTTAGTTATTCCTTATACGTTGATTATATTCGGCGTCTTATTATACTTCACAATAGAACATAACAAGATAAAGACTGTAACGGATAGAGGTGTGTATTCTTTACCTACCCTAATGAGAGACAGGCGTGATTGTATGTGTATGTACTATTGTTTTAAAATGATTTATACAACACGTGATAATTTATCACTATAGTTTATAGTAAATATTATCATCAATTTATTAGGACGAAACCAATAACAACTACGTGGTATCACAGATAGATTCTAGGTTATCTAAAGATGTGGAGAATTTAATAACTAATCCAGCCCCTCTCGACCAGTGGGACAACTGGATTAGGGTTGAAATGATTAAGCGGTTTTCGACGACTTCCCCAGAAGGGGAAGAGCTCGGTGATAGGAAACCAAGCGTGTGTCTTAGACACTTGCGCTCCCTGTCTGGCAACCTAACTGACGAGGCCATTTTAAGAGAACTATTTCTCCAGAGACTTCCCAGGCAATTTTGACAGCCCAGGCGGACAATATTTTAAAGGTGAATCCCTCATCTACTGGGACAGCGTGGGCACTGTTGCCACCCACACCTTCAAACAATGAGTTAGTTACAAACTTATTAATAATCGAGAATGTAAAATTAACAACACCTAAATATCCATACAAGTTAAACTTTACGTAAGTCGTTTTGCTAATAGTTTTTTACAGGCGCTTTTTAAGTCGTTGTGTCTTGTTTCATTTCATTCACCGTTAGCGAGAGATTGTTTCTTTTACAAATGCACTTAGAGATTAAATTCATATGCACATGCTGTGACAAAAATCCGAAGCATTGATCTTCCAATTGATAGGCAAATGTTCTCCCACTGGACTAATAACATAACGATTGGAAAATAACTTCACAAAAAAGCTAAATATCTCTAATAATTCTTAAAAATACACTGAAAAGAGGAATACTTACTCACTATTTTGTACAAAAGATTATCTTTAATGGCGAATCACGACGGGATCATCGGCTTATCTTAAAGCTTAATCCAGTGAACCGTCGAAAAACAAGCTCAAGGGAACACTGTATTCAAAAATTTAATTCCTGGAATTTGAATCAGAATAATTCACCCAGAATAACGCATTCAGATTGTACATTATGGATGATTTATAGCTATCGAAGAAACCTAATTGACCCAATTTATCTTGCTTTTATATAATATCAAGTGATGAGACGTACAAGTTGTGAGTTTGGTGACAAGCGACACGCCTTGCCACCAAATTCACTTGTTGACAGTGCCACTACTCTCAGATCTATGCAATTTAAAATTTGAGAGATCAAACATTTGAAAGTCTCTGCCACTGTTTGAGACATAAAAAATCTTGTAATTTCACCAGTACCATTATCCGCCTTTGTTAAATGTATTGACACACTTATGTATTGATATTTTGATACCAGTATCGCGGATTAGTATCTTAATTATGGAATATGATCGTGAAATAGAAATTAACAGCACGTATATAAATTCCAAATGACGGGACGAACAAATCGTGGGCCTGGTGGTGAACGACACGCCTGTCTATAACAGTTGCAGTGCTACTCAGTGCTTTAAAACGCAAAGATCAGAGGGGCATTGACACTGCGCCCGTTACCCTGAGACGTCTGTTGACGAGTCCCATATGCCTGTAATTACACCAAAAGCCCATCCTCCAAACCGGAACACAGTAAAATCTCATTACTGCTTGATGGCAGAAATAGGTAAGGTGGCAGTACTTCCTGGACAAACTTTTCCATTAGGAGCTTTACTGCTTCTAAATATATAAGACAGTATGTTTTCTTAGTGAAACACACACTTTTCTATCCTTTAAATCAAACAATAAGCAAAATTCAACTTTAACATCTTGAACATATTATGGTCCTTCGAGCCGGATTGTTACAACGTTTCGAACCACAACATCGCTAGATAGCCAGGCCACTCAACACAATAGAGGACTGCATTCCTGAGCGTGTTGCATTGATGCGTTGTATCGATTGAAATATATATTTATAGTAGAATACGAGCCGGATTGTTTCGAACCACTACATCGCTAGACAGCTGGGCCGCTCAAGACCGACGGAATCAAGGTGAGGAGAAGTCTATTCACTTTCGTTAAACTTCTAAATGGACGTATTCTTCAGTTTTGTAAAGGGCGATGCGATAGCTCCTACCCGCATCGAGCCAGTGAGGCGGAATATACAAGTTAGTTCAAATACTGATCACATGTCGTAGAATCGCACGCTTCAGCATGCAGTATGTTTGTTTAAGTGTTAGCGACCGTACACAGATCCTTTTTATTAACCGACTTCAAAAAAGGAGGAGGTTCTCAATTCGACTGTATGTTCTTTTTTTTTTGTATGTATGTTACGCGATAACTCCGGTATTTGTGAACGGATTTTCATGATTCTTTTTTTGTTGGAAAGGGGGTACTTCCATAGTAGTCCCATTTAATTTTGAAGAAAATCATCCACCTTTAAGGCTGGCTGTTCACGCGTGAAGATTCATTTTTATAAATAGCGCCTAACTTTAATTTAGGAGCAATTATTTTAATGGTTGAGTTTGCTATTTCTCCAATTCAAGGCGTTTTCTCTCAATATACTTTGAGTAGTGAGAACCGATTTTTATTATCGTAGTGGCGAACTAGGGGATATTTCAATAAAACTTAGCAAATAGACGTAATTCCACATACTTTTGAGGTCGGTTTTTTAGTACTTTGTGCTGAGATTATTATTATTGTAGTTTATAATACACCTACATAAACTTAATGTATTGTATTAATTTATATTGTTAAAATAGAATTGAAACTATTTTTCAGGATCAAAATCGCGTCTGTTTGTTTTTATTTCAAAGAAACCAACGTTTCGGGTATTTTAATAGTCTCATGGTCACGGCTAACTGAAATCGTGAATTATCTGCATAAACTATACTAAATCTAAATCAGACATTGTAAATCGCTTCCCATATTTAAACCTGGATTGCATAAGTATTTTCTGGCTCGATCTTAGTCTGCAACTTGGTCTGATTGTTTACGTTGAAGTTTATTTAAGTATATGTATATGTAGTATATGTAGTGTGTAAACAAATATATATATATAGGCTTAGAATAATAACGCATAGAAACCTAGTCCGCACACGCTAAATGAGGCAAATTGAAGCGCTCCCAAAGGGCCTATACGAGCGAGCGGGCCGTCAGTGCTCAAGGTCAACTTGCACCGCGAACAGATCAAGAATTTTAGCTAAAAATGACGAAACGTGCGGTAAATGAGTGTAAAAATACGTCAGACAAACATAAAATAGATACTAACATCACATTCCACAAGGAAGTAACGCGTTTCAACTTGTATTTTTATATAAATATTCACTAAAACCGAAAATTAACCTACTACCAAAACTAGCCTACATAAATTTGATTTTGGCCTCACTTGTGACATTTGTTTTGATATGAAACTATCATTTTATGCGTTATTATTCTAAGTATGTAGGTATATAATATTATGGTCACGAATTATTTCATAATATGATAGTGTAAGTTTTTAATCGTGCATTTAAATTTTTATCACTGGCACACTACGTCTCCCTCTCTGTTCAGATCTCATCTGCATCAAAGGTTGTCTGGAAGAGATCGCTCTCAGCGATAAAGCCGCCTTTGCCCACATTAATTTTAAGTTGTCCATGTACCGTTTTTTTGTTTTTTGTGTGTGAGAAATAAAGTTTATTATCTATCCATCTATCTATCTACATTTATATAATTATAACTTTTTTCCTTGTGATTAATTTATAAAATACGTGTTTTAAATAATTTTCTGTGATGGGCCTTTGAATTTTTTTATCTTGTCTAAGTGGGCGGTGAGCTAAAAGTAGCTGTAAAGATACTAACTGGGTGATAAATCTTTTATAGATTTCTCATAGATGGCGCTACGACTAAAAGTCGTTGAAAAACCAAATACAAAGACACGACTCAAGCACTTAAAAAATTCGTGAGATCCGCTGGTTCGTTCCGTGGCTTAGTTGGTACAGCGTCTGGCATGGTAAGCTAGAAGACGTCGGTTCGAATCGAATTTTTGTTCTGTGTTCGATCTTTCTATTAATAATTATAACAAAGTAGTGGAGTAATTTGACATAAAAATAATTAACCATCAATTAAGGTTGACTAGTAGAGAATGCTTTTAGCATTAAGTCCGCCTAATGCACCATTATGTGTTGTGATAAATACAATTTAATATACTTAATAGAATATCATTTATTATGTACAAGAGCACAGTACACACACATTACATTACTCTATAATCTCAGTACAGAGTACTAAAAAAACCGACCTCAAAAGTACGCGGAATTACAACTATTTGCCAAGTTTTATTGCAAGCGGTTACCGAAAAGTACGCAAACCCGGATTCATCCCCTATTTCGCCACTATACGGAACTTGAAACAGGAGATAATAAAAATCGGTTCTCACTACTCAAAGCATATTGACATAGAAAAACGCCTTGAATTGGAGATAAGCAAAATCAACCATTAAAATAATTGCTCCTTATAATCAAATTTATACGCTATTTATAAAAATGGATCTTCATGCGTGAACAGCAACCCTTAGAGGTGGATGATATTCTTTAAAATTAAATGGGACCACTATGAAGGTACCCTCTTTCCAACAAAAAAAGAATCATCAAAAATCGGTTCTCAAATGGTGAAGTTATTGCGTTATAACATACATGCAAAAAAACATACAGTCAAATTAAGAACCTCCTCCCTTTTTGAAGTCGGTTAAAAACACATAATCGTTTGCGACTACAAAATTAATTAATGTAAAGCACATCCACATGTCTCATTACAAACTATTTATTTGAAAATGAATTAAAAAATAATAGTAATTCAAATATAAAACAGAAGAAAACCGAAAAAAAAAAATAATTTAACGAATAATAATTAACAAAACTGGCAGCGTGTGCGCTGTGCCATTACAGAATCCGTCATTCACTCACCCTATTGTCATCTCACTCAAAATGCTATAATAAATACATAAAATAAAAACATATAAAGAGCCCTGGTTTCTCCTTAAAAAAAACGACCACGACGAATACAGAAACTCAGAGTTTAAACTGCTTTTTTAATCGAAACTAATATTGTAAATGCGACAGTAACTCTAACTGAAGTTTTCACGCCTCAACCGCTAAACCAAAATTGATGAATTTTGTTATAGAGATAAATGAGATATCAAAGGATATATGTAGATATATGTGGAATAAAAGCGATCAGAAGCATGGGCTACATTTGGAGGGAATGCATTAAGAGTCCACTATACAAGTGTTGGATCACGTATTGCGGTTCTGATTTAAGCAAGTACAGCGAATTGGTTTCGGTTGGCGACACTAACAAATGCTTGAATTTTTTTTTGTGTCTCTTTTTGTTTATTTACAACTGAAAATTCTATGCTTAGCAGGTATAGCCTATACCTATTAGGAGCTTCGATAGTAGGTACTGATTGAAACACGTCTTG